CCCATCAATACCTTCTGGTTATGTACTGAATGTATTTATATACTGCAGTATATGTAAAAAAAAAAAAAAAAAAAAAAAATTGCATAAGAAAGAATTGCATAATGAACTCAGAGATCACTTATTCTTTATTACCAATCCTGGTAAAATGCTAAAGCCTTCACATAAATGTTTTTCTTTGTTGTAGAAGGAAAATCCCACATTGATCCACATTTTAATCTGGTGATATTAATTCAGAGGTAACCATTCCTTGAAAAATAAAGAGGAAAACAATCAGTTTATCCTCTGATGAGATCAGTTGATTATATGAACAAAGGCGCCCTCTTCTGGTGATCTTTGGTACCTACAGCTCCTAACTGGTAAGTTTCTATCTGTCTTTGTTTAAATAGCAAAGTTCTGCTGCCAGGATCTTTCTAGAGAGGAGAATCTTTCTCCTGGTGACTCTTCCAACAATCCATCCTGGTTCAGCCTCTTCCTCATTGATCTGTCATCAACTTTAACATGTAACATGCTAACTGAGGCATGTAGAGGATCTGATGGAGCTCTGGGGTCAGAGGTCACTCATCTCAACACTCAGAGAAGCTTTGATGTTTTTATGTACAGAATTGAATTGCCTAATATTTTATTTATGAAGAACATTTTGTTACTGAGCTTAAAGCATCTGTTTATAATGCTGACATGTAAATAAATCCATATCCATCGAGAGATGTTGTCTCTGTCACTACACTACAGGAACAGACCAAATGAAGCTACTATGAGAAAACACAGATTTCTATAGCTGAGATTTGAGATTTGACTAAAAATACTATTTATTCATTAAATTATAAACAAAAAAACCAAAGAAGAGTGATGAAGAAATATTTTTAATAAAATATACTTAAAGTTTAGGAGACATTGTGAAAAACTAACATCATCATCATCATCATCATCATCATCATCATCATCATCTTCATCATCATCTTCCTCAGTGAGATCTAAACCAGTGATTAAAGGAGAGCAGCAGAGCTTCCCATGGTTCATCTTGGACCAGTTCAGAGCTCAGTGATCAGATCTGTTCTCTCTCTGGTTTCTGGTTCTAACAGCAGAGCTGAAATGAAAGCTGTGGGTCCAAACTTCATCAGTCAGAGGAGAACCAGCACTGATGATGAGCTCACAGCTGTTGGGACGCCTGCTAACATAGGTGTCCATTGACCATTCCCAGAAAATGAACCAGTAAATCATTTATTCTTCCAGTCAGAGTTCATCAAATATTTGTCTCTAGTTTAGATTTTATAGCAGAAACTCCAAAAAGATCTAATAAGCCGTCATCCAACTTTATATGATGATTGATGATGGTTCATGTTCAGATAAACTGATCCACTGTCAGAAACTGTTCACCTTCTCATCAAACCTGAGCTCCATTACTCCTGCATTAAATAGATGCAGATAGAGTAGAGCTACAGCTCCCTCTAGTGGTGGAAAGTAACCATGACATAAATAAAAAATCATATTTACTGCTTTAAGTAGATGGAGAGATGTAGCCTGGGTGCCAGTCCGAACTTAGTCCCGCCCACAAAGTTTGAGGTCGGGGAAGTTCGGTCTGGCTCTGCTCCATAGTAGCGCGAGTATTAAAGCCTGTCGCTACCCCGATCCGTACCGGTAGCACGATCCGTACCATCAGCTCATTTGCGCCTGCGCGAACAGAATAACTTCCGGGTCGCCAAAAAATAATGTAATTACGGTACTGAAAAAAACTTTATTTATATCCTTAAATAATTAAAGAATACTAAACTACATCGTAAAGACAATATTGAAGACTTTTCTGGACGAAATGGATGCTTTTTAAATTCAATCCATTGTATTGCTTGACGTCATTTTTCTGGAATAAAAATCCAAATTTTCGGGAAATGTTCACTTATCAATGAAAAACTGCAGGTCACGAAAGGTAGCAAATGAATCCATTGTGGGATTAGTACTGCTGGAGTGCATAGTTAAGTACAGAGTAAATCAAATATTTAAACAAATTTAAATATATACGCTGTGTGACGTATATTTGCGCATGCTCAGAGCAGTCAAAGTAACTATCACAAGGCGATTGAACTTTTTTTATGTATTTCGGTTTTTTTATTTTTAGAAAATGCAATATTGACGAAAATACAAAGATATACAAAAAGAAACCCATGCCTCTAAATAATACAAAAGAATAAAAAAGTAAGAAAAAGGCCACCGGAAGTTATTCTGTTTGCGCACGCGCAAATGAGCTGATGGTACGGATCGTGCTTCCGGTACGGATCGGGTAATGACAAAGCCCACTGTCAGGCGATCCAATCAAATTGTCAGGGCGGGCTTTATACGATGATGGACAGATGACAAACAGTAACGTAATCAACCACGTGACCAATGCGCGCTTGGGTGACAACAATAATGGCTGCCGCTGGAGAGTTGAGGTGAGTAGATTCTGCTATTAGGTCTGTTCTAGAAGATATCGACAGCAAATTAATTTTAAAAGAGGAACAGAGAAACGCGATCAAGGCTCATCTTCTTATTCTAGGCGTGAAACTGCACGCTTTGATTTTTGTTGACAACAACTTTGCGTGGCTTAACATACGTCACGCACTCCGTTGCTCTTATTGGTTGTAGGTCTATCCAATTGAGTGCAGAGGCCTTTTTTTTCCTGGTTCGTTCGAAACACGCCCCATAATCACAGCTCTATGGAGCAGTATCAGACTCATATTCTGACTAGAATTGAGTCGGACTACGTCAGGCTAGGAGAGATGAAGTTACAGTGGCAAATCATCTGCATAACAACAACATACCGTCTCTAGTAAAGAAGACTGAAAGCACCTCAGCTTTGTTACTCATAAATAAAGTTAAAACGTTTTTTTTTTATTAAGCTGTGGTTATCAATCTGTAATTATCAAAATAATTAATGCTTTACTGTACATGTGGGAATACAATCAATGTCTTGTTACAGTTTAAATATCATTCTGTACCAGTAAAGTCTCATCATATGTAATATGTCTGCTATGAGGCAGAGGCACATGTACTTCTGCACTAAGACCAAGTGCACACTTTATAAAGTGGTTTAAAGCTTAAGTATCTGGACTAAACCAAACAGTTAGTTTAGTAAAAATGAAAGAATATAGTGTTGACACTATAGGCAGGTAAGTTTAGGGTTTACCAAGCACATAAATAGATCATAATAAATACTCCTTACAAAAGAATTGAGGATATTTAAACAAATATTTCTTAATGCAATAACTAAGCGACATTGGCAGAACTCTTTCATTTATTATTCAGCTATTATCATTCAGCTCTTTTAATTGTGCTCGTGCTCTGGGAGTCTTTGGGATTTAAGATGCAGCTAATTTTACTTCTTTAGATTGACCATATAATCCAGCTGGATGACATATTTATATTATTCCCCATAAAGGTGAGATATTATACCTTACATTCAACTCTAAACTAGTATCCTCAGTCAGTTTTTTTTCCACAGCCAACAATAAATAATGTGATGATGCAATGATGTTCCTTCTGAAAAAAAAACTAAACTATGATTTAATCATTGTTTTTACTGGTTTAAAAGGCTTAGAGGAGATGCACCTTGAATTAACCCTCAAAATTCACCCAATGTGAATCTACCTGTGCACACGCATCCAATGTACCGGTATGAGTATCGGACCACTGATGTGAATCGGTGAATTTCCTCATCTCTACTCTGCAGTCAGAAAGCAATCTTCTGTGAGCAGATTTGCTCAATGCAGAATATGACTGATTTAGACAACATAGATGTATAAATGTGTAGAGGAGCTGAAAGAACCTGGAGGAATGGATGAAAGAGCAGTTAACCTCTGAAATACCTGAGATGAAAATCTGGAAAAATATAGATTCAAATGCTCTTCAGTAATCCTTTAGCTGTGTGTGTGTATGGATAGTTACAGATGTTAGTGATGAAATGTGAGCGGCACAGCAGCAGCACCTGGAGAGCATCCAGGATCCACCAAATATTAACCTTTACTCTCATTTTCCTGCTGATGTTCCCTCTGCTGAGCTGCTCAGGCTGGAATAGCTCTGCAACCAGAGTTCAGGTCAATGGGAGCTCTTCTCCATCAGGGACATTGAGCTGGATGGTTCTGATCCTGAGAGGTGGGTCAACCTGGACCTCCAGAACAGATGAGGCTTTAGGAGAGCGACCCAGAGAACTCAGGTGAAGTTCTGGTTCCTACTCTGCTTCACTTCACACTCACCAGAACAGAGCCCTCGTCTGTTCAACCTCCAGCCTCTGTGAGCAGCTCTTCAGTCATCTTCTATTTAGCTGACTTCCTGCCTGTAGTTTCATCATTATACTGCTGTAAATGAGCGAGTGTGAGACATGTGGACAGTTTTCTGTTAGAATCTAAACAGGAGTGAAGGACATGAAGGTGTCTGTGGACCCACCCCTCTTCCTGGATTTCAGCAGCAAGAAAAAATGCTCCGCTTTGCTGATGATAGTTGGCTTGATGAAGGAAAAGCTGCTCAACCCCAAACAGAGAAACAAGGTCCTCATGGCTGGAAGGAAATGGAGCATAACAAGCAGCTCTGGAGCTGGAAACTCCTGATTTACTCCCTCTGGATTTCCAATGATCTGCTGCTTCAATGCTCAGAGTGGCAGGATCCAGAAAGAGGTACCAGTGGATATTAGCTCCATCCCTCAGAGGCGTCAGCTTAACACTAGAGACTAAAACACTGAAGCTGTGAGGATAAACTTCTGAAAGGAGCATCTTCTGAACTGTTTAAGCAGATAACTTTTATAAAAACTTAGTTTAAAGTTGCTGCTGATCCATAAGAATCAAGAATGTTGAAGAACAGATCAGGAGGCTTTCTATATCTGATCTACTGAGCATCATATCAACCTGCTTCCTTCTTATCCTTCCTCTGCAGCTTCATTTATATTTCAGAGACTGCCTGTTCTTATGGGCTGATGGGACGCTAAACCTATGGGAACAAATTAATCTGTGGTACAATTTTTCAAAGACGCAAAGGCAGATGTTTGCTTTCAGTTTATTGATTTAGAGAAATTACAGTTCCTCAAAGTGTCAGATAGAAAGAAAAAGAATGAACTTTGGATAGAAAAACACAATCTGTCCAGTTTAGGAACATTTCATTAAATTTGCTGTTTGATTTTTTATGAAGCAGAAAAAAGTCACATTTGACAAAAACAAGCAGATCAACAATTGTCCCTTAAAAAATCTAATTACCACAGAAACAAATTAAGACCCAGAAATCTTTCACCTGCAGGAAATTACACTATTTTTAAAGAAATAACAAAAACCCAACAGAACCTGCTGGATTCTCTGATAGATCCTCAAAACATAACTATTGAAATATGCAACCATTAAAATTATTTCATTCAAAAACACATTTTAAAAAGATGGAGATTTTATCAACCATCTGTTTTACTATATTGGTGGTTTATTGATCTAAATCAGCTTAACTTTACTGCAGCTTGTTGGTTCTGCTGGCACCGATTTGTTACAAAATAAACTCAGTGACAGAAAGAAACTTTTAGACATTAAAAAAGGTTTTATTTCCTCATTAAACAACAAATGATGATAACAAACACAATAAGTAATAAAACAGACAAAACTATCCACAAACTAATGGAGATTTTGATCTGATTTCATGTTGTTTATAGACATGTTTTTTTTTAGAGGATTTTTTCAGCACTTATTGCTGCTTTACAGCACATGCCCCTGACTTAAACAGGAGATCTGAACAAAGAGAAGCTTTTTAACTGCCGGATGAATCCAGTAAAGTTTGTATACTTAGGGAAATCCAGGTGTAATGAAGACGTTGGAGATACGTCCTAACCTGACTTTAGCAGAAGACCCACTTTATTTGGAGTCCATTTTGACCTAATAGAAAGCTGCAATAAAGCAACTGCACCATGAAAGTAACCTAATTTATTGGCAGACCACAGCTTCTGGATTGATGCTCAGATTGTTTCTCAGAGACAAAAAGTGAAAAATAAAAGTTTACATAAAAGAAAAAAAAAATATTTATAAAGACAAACTCACAGTTAGCAGATATAAACTCTAATAAAGCTAATCAAGATCAAATCAGTGAGTAAAAAGTGTTTGTATTTTTTTTTTTTACAGTCATAAACAATAACATATTTGTATGAAAACATTTGGACATTTAAGTTACATGTTCATGAAATGTGCATTTCTTCCTCTGCTGATCAGCTCCAGCTCAATATACTGACACTTTCGCTGAATTCAGGACAGGAAGCTTCATTGCAGTAATGTTTCAGTGGATTTCACAGAAACTTTAAACACCTCATTTTATTATTTGTTCTGCTGCTTTTCCCTGAACTAGACTAAACTTATTTTAACAAGTTTAAAATTTAAATCGAATACATATCATAAAAAAAAAAAAAAAAACGGACAAAATGCACTTTTCTTCTGTGACTAAAATCTAACAGCTAAAGTCTGTCAGATATAATACAGTCTTTCTGTCTCCTGTTCAAAGAGACTTTAGCACTATCAGTGGCTCTACCTCTTCCAACCACTGAATTGAGGGATAAGCCATAGTTATCAATGGTTTCTTCCATGTAAACTGGCTCACACCTCTTCCTTCTTTGCGGTAGCTTATTTAAGGATTCTGTGCCTTCCTGACACACTTCTGAGTGAAATGACCCCATTTACCCCCTTTAGTGCAATACGTTATTGTAAACATTCCATTTAAATTAATAACAATAAAGCTGTGAGGTAGCTCAGTCAGGGATCATACCAACACCCAGTAGATCCTAAATAATACTATCAGTATTCCAACATGAGGTAGATACCCCCCTGTAATACCAGTGATAGCAGAGGATTCACTGTAACAGGGGGGATAGTAGTGCAAAGTGCATTTTTACATATTTCTAACCAGTAATGTAACGGAGTAACAAGATTCCTGTTCCCATCAAAAACAAAAATACACAAACAGAAAGTCCCCACCTCCCCCGATCTACCGGCTCTTCAGGTTCCTCCTGCTTTGGCTTTATAGAAGCTGCAAAGAAAAGAAGCAAGAAAATAAAACACTGTCATTCCTGTCATCTGGAGATCTTTTTTTTCAGTGACAACAATATTAAAATAGTAAAACAAAAAACAGAGAAAATGTTTAAAGTAAAATAGCTTACATGCAACTACAAGTTGCGATTCTTTAATGCATCTCCTTCCATCAGCAATAAGGACCAACCGATACAGCCCCATGTCGTTCAGCCTCAGGTCACTCAGCAAACATTTGATACTCATGTTCTCGATCAGCTGACACTGCAGCCGACCTCTGAACAGATTATCAATGTACGGCTCAGCATTAGCTCTGCTGTCGTACTCATAAATACGTCTCAGTGGCTTCATGATCTCCAGAAACATGAACAGGATCTCAGGAGGTGAGGCATCATGGCCTGTAAGGTTGCAAGTCAGTGTGAAGTTTGAGAACTCCTCTGCCTGGTAGTCGCCCTGAGTTTCCTTCTCAGATTGCAAAGATTTTCCTGCAGGAGACAGAGATAGACAGAAGACAGGAATGTCAACAGGAGGCTGAGGGATCCTAGGTTTGATCAAGTCCTCATGAACCATAGATCTACTCTGTTAACCTAATTAATCTAGAGTCTAAATCATCAGGTCTCCTCCGCAATGCTTTCTATGCCATGGCTGGTTTTCTTCATGATTTCCACAACATTATTTGTTTAGACTTAGACTGGACTAGACTTCCTTTATAGTCATTGCACAAAAAAACACAAGGTGAATCTTGACAACGAAATGTCAATTACTTGGCTACCAGTGTAACAGAGCTAAGACCTTATTCCTGCACAATAAATATGTTTTCTATAACTAAGAGCTAGCTATATACAGGGTAAAGAAGTATATATATATATACATATATATTGCACTGAGTTATGAAACATTAAATTGAAGACAGAACTAAACTAAGGTGCTTGTATTGTCCATGTCCATGGGGGGTGGTTTTAGTGTGTGTGGGGTGTGGGGGAGTGTTATGTGGCGTTAAGCAGTCTGACGGCCAGGGGGAAGAAACTGTTCAGTAGTCTGGTCGTTCTGCAGAAGATGCTACGGAACATTCTGCCGGACGCCAGGGGGGAAAACAGTCCATGGTTGGGGTGGGTGGGATCGGAGAGGATCTGGTGAGCCCGGGAAAGGCAGCGCCTGTCAGCGATGTATACAGCCACTCTGTGGAACACAGAGTGGCTGTATACTCAGGTTAGTAGGAAAAATGAACCTGCTACTTTGAGACACACAGGCCCCTGATGGGGAACCAACTACCAGTTTTAGTCCGTGAGGCAGACACCCTGTCTACTTTTAAGGCTAGGCTTAAAACATTCCTTTTTGATAAAGCTTATAGTTAGAGTGGCTCAGGTTATCCTGATCTATCTCTATAGTTCTGCTGCTATAGGCTTAGACTGCTGGAGGGCATAGGGACCCCTTTTTCATCATTCTGCTTCATTCTCTCTCTGTTCTCCTATTCTGCAGAATCTGTTTGTTCAATCTCTAACCTTCTGCTCTCTCTGCTTTTCCTCAGAGTAGCTTTGCCTAGTCTGTTCCTGTTTGGCTGTGACGTCATCCTGGAGAGAAATATCAGCTGTGCTGCTTCCATCAACACCCTTGTTTATAGATGTTGGAGATCGGCCTGTTTTCCAGTGTAGTCCTGTTTCTCTGACTGTGACTAACTGGATGTGCTCTCTTCGTCCTCTGGCATGGGAGCTGGCTCGGAGCTCGTCTGCCTGGCTGTGTGTTTCCTGAACAGGTCCGCCTTTTACGGGTGCCTTTTGTATCTATGCTTCTTTTTCTATGTCTGCTTCTGTCTCCTTGAACCCCAGTGGGCCTCAGCAGATGGCCGCTCACACTGAGCCTGGTTCTGCTGGAGGTTTCTTCCTGTTCAAAGGGAGTTTTTCCTCTCCGCTGTCGCTACAAGCATGCTTAGTGTGAGGGATTGCTGAAGAGTCAATGAGTCGATGCAATCAACTGGTTTTCCTTAGATAGAAAACTTTGTATCGATTTGACTGGATGATCTGGTTGAACTGTAAAGTGCCTTGAGATGACATGTGTTGTGAATTTGGCGCTATAGAAATAAACTGAATTGAATTGATGTGGCTAGGTGACAGTAAGAAACATATATGAACCTTTACCTGCAGGCTTGACTACTACTTGTTTTTTTATGTTAATGAAGAAAAAAAAAATATTTCTTATAGGTATGTACAGTAGATGTAAACAGAATAAGTATTTGTTGCACTTTTTTGAAGAGGTGGGGAAACTCTGTCTCAACAGACAGCCACAGGCATAGAATAAATGTTTGTATGTACTTTTCTAAATTTCTTTTCCTCATGTCACTCTCCCCTTAGGAGGCGGCAGAGCTCATTGGGCCCCCAAAATTGGAAAGCCCTGCTAATGACCCTTGACCCCTCCGCTCCCACCCCCACCACTTTGCCCCAACCCAGAGACACAGTTCTAGTTTTCTACTAATAACACTATTCATGTTATTAATCTTAGGATATACTAAACGTTTGGAAAGGCACATTCCTGGCTTTTACACTTGATTTTTGTTGTTTAAATATTAATAAATATGTAAAAATATATGAAACCATTACTGTCCCCGTTTCCTAATTTCATCTCGATAAGATGTATTGATTTTTATCCACGAGCAAGAAATGTCCCCAGATTTGATTTCAGAAATCTGGTCACCTTACTATGGTCCCTATGCAAACCTACTCCTATTTGAAGGAACAGAGACTGACCGATAAATCCAGAGCTGTGCCTTTTCTCAAGTATCTGTTTTTAAAACATTCTGGATTTTTTTCCCCAGATTTTCAGAACTTTGACTGTAACTCAGATCCTCACCCAGAGAACGATAACTCAGGATCCCCATCAGCACCAATAAGAGGGGGAAGGTGGTCCAGTTCAGCATGCCTCATGCAGGTCCTGAACAAAATATAAAAAATGCTCAGAACCACAGAGTTAATGAGATTATTCTACATTTTAATTAATGTTTATTTATCTGTAGAGCCGTTTCCATTGTTAAACATGGCGACCAGGACAAATCAGGACAAAATGGAGGATTAGGAAATGTCTGGATAAGTTTCATTTTCACGTTTTCGTAAGAGTTTTCATCTGCAGACACAGAGTTCAGCTGAGAAATCCCAGAAGGAGACTTAGAAAAAGAAAAGGGTCCAAATCTAAGTGTATAAAATGATTAAAACATTTTAAAGCTTAAACTGAAACTTGATGTGTTAAAGGTTTAAGAAATAAACCGAGCAATCACTCAGAAACGGAGCATTTTCTACGATCGCTGTGATTTGAAGGAAAAAATGAAATAAGATGAAATTAATAACCAGAAATGAACTTTGCACCCAAACATTGCATGCAGTATAAAAAGGTTATAAATGTTTATTTTGTTCTGTTTATTTTAGAAATAGAAAATAACATTATGGCGATAAATTCCCTTTAATGTGATTTTTTTTACCGCATCAAAGCTCCAGCCTTTCAAGTTTTGTTGTTAATGTGAAAATAACCCTATTTTATGGAGGTCTGCAAGAGAAAAAGTGCGCAACTTACCAAGAAACACGAAGAAGACGTTCAAATACTGGCGATAAAATGTGTCCCAACATCAACTAAACTTTTATTTAATCTGTTTAAATCGCTTTAAAGCTGCAAACACTAACTAAAACTCCGCGTTTTAGTTTTTTGGTGCTGAAGGTCGGACCATTAAAAAAATAATAATCTACTTCCTCCTTCCACAAAAGGTATACCGCCCCCACTTATTACGTCATCATTTTACCTGCGTGTGATTTTTCTATCCTGATTAATGCACTGAATCAGTTTCTATAGTTCTGTTAACTGATTATGATATTAATGAATTCCTTCATGTTAATAAAGCAACTTTTAGACTCTGCAGCCTGAATGAAGGACAGCAGGCTGTCTCTGACCAGCAATACCATCTACAGCCTATAGGGGGCGGACTCTGTTTCTGCCCAGAGGGAAACCTCATAGAAAAACTACATCAGTGAAACACTGAGTTAAAGCTAAATCAAACATGAAGCCTCATTAGACTTAAAGCCAGAGTCTAACTGAGCCTAAAGTTATGAATTATCAACTAGATCATCTGTTTATTGACATTAATTAAATTGAGAACAAGCAGTTTGTCTCTTTTTTTAAAGGCATCCTTGCAGCTTGGCTCCTCCAACCCAATCACTGACCTGATCAACCTGGGAAATAAAGCTAACCTCTTTAGACCAAGAAACTGACATAAAAACACTGATCACTGCTAAAGGCAGAAACATTTGGGTCTTTTTCTTGGTTTAACATTAAACACCAGAGTTTAAGGACACTGAGGCTCAGATACTGCTGGACTGAGAGCCGTCTGTGACTCTCAGGTAATTAGATCATCCCTGCAGACAGAGAAACACCTGCTCTGAACACTTCAGGATGTAATGGTGGTCAGCATTTATCAGCACGCTGGAAAAAATGGAAATCTAAATAAGTAATTTTTTCTTAAAATAAGCGTATTTATTCTTTGATTGAGGAGGTAAAAGAGACATTTTGCCAATGGAACAAAACAATTTGAACTTAAAATATGAAAGGACAATTGCATTGTCTTATTTCAAGTGCATATTATCTTATTTTAAGAGTTAAAAACTCTCATTCCATTAGCAAACTATCTCATTTATCTACTCATATTAAGGGTAAATACAGGTAACTTGAGAAATTTTTACTCATTTCTAGATTATATTTCCAGTGCAGGGGATCAAGAAAAGATGAGAGTCTTTATGTGATCAATAACTCAGTATTCCTGCTTATATGAGTATAAAAAAAGCCTAAAAAAAAATCAAGACTAGATAGACTCATAAATACACATTAAAGTGTATAGAAGTAAACTGAGATTAGAGCAGTAAGAGCTTCATTCAGAAAGATCAAGCTGGAGACACAGCTGTTAGATAAAGAAACACGTTTAATAAGAGAAATAATAATAAAAGAAAAACATCAATGGTTTCCTGTCACTCAGCTACCTTTCAGAGCTCAGTCAGTCAGGTTTGTACTCCGCTGCATTACTGCCATCTAATGGACACATTAGGTTATTAAACACGCTTCCAAAAGCCACATACTGTAGTGCACAGAGCTGTTTTCAGGAAGGGAAGCAGCCATGGGCGTAGGTTTGCATAGGGACCATAGGGACATGTCCCTACCAAAATTTTGAACCGACCTAATTGTCCCTACCAATAATTGGATGTGAGCAACATGTTTATAATTTACAGCAGTAGTTTTTGCAGCAGAGGCTTCTTTTCCTCTCGCAGCTCCTCTGCCTGGTCTCTCCTGTCCCTTTCATGTAGCAGCGCATGGAACTGTGCTGCGCTGTTTAACTCAACTCTCATTGGTTGTTCTGCCTTAGGTTCCGCCTTCTCTCTCTCTGATTGGCTGTTTTCTAGTCCGTGTGTGCTTGGAGCACAACATTGAAAATTTATTCACACTAGAATGCAGCGGTTACTACAATTAATATTAGGCTACAAAACTAGTCCCAATAAAAAAAATGAATATCATGTACACTAAAAAACAAAAACCTTTTTTTTTTCTTTTATAAACGAAATATTCTGAGTCAGCCAGGAGTTCTGAAGACTGCTGGAAAAATGGGCAAATAAAGACTGTAAGCCATCAACATTTCTGATTCTTAGCCACAGCCAACTAAAAAAGAAAATGTGAGGGTTTCCTTTTTACCGATATTAAGTTGATATTACAGTTTTCATTTTTTTGTTTTTATTTTTATAATTTTGATATAATAACTGATCTAAGTGGGTTGCTCTGTGGGGAAAGGCACATTTTACATTTATATTACTGTATGTTTTAAAGTCTCTATACTCCAGTTAATGATGAATCACTTACTAAATTAGTTGACGATTATTGAAATAATCAATTAATACGATTCATTTTTTTCAGCCCCAGATGAAATACATGAAATGGGCTACACAGAGTAACTACAGCCCAGATGTTCAACTTTTATAGTGAAGTTAATATTTTAATGAATGTATTATTTTGCTTGATACAGAGAGAGAATACTGTAGTAGGTACAAATATTAGAGTGGGGTTTAACTCTGCACAATTCTATATCTTCAAAAGTAAATACTGTATTTACCTTCTCTCTTAGTTGTTCAAATGAAACAGTTTTCAAAGTGGAAAACAGTCCTAATTCCACATTCATCAGAGCCGGTGATACTTCAAACATTGATAAACAGCATCTAATGAGTCTAGAGCTTATAACATTTTTATTAATGGAGCAAAATGATGCTTTTCTCTTTTAACAATGAATTCCTCTTATCAGTACGGATGCTCACATCGAGCATAAAAAAGGGCATGCATATTGCATAGCACCAATGACACCAGACCAATAGTGTCCCTACCAAAGTTCAAATCAAACCTACGCCCTTGGAAGCAGCTGATCTGTTGCTCCATCACCACTGGACACGAGGTGAAGCTGCATGTTAAACATTACTGTTAGTTTAAGCATTAGAGCTTTATAATTAAGTAAGAAGATATTTGAAATAAATGGAAATGATACAAAGAGTGTGAACAGGAAGATACAAAGTTTAACCAGAACGAAACATTTCTGATCTATATCTCTCTGGTGTATATTTATATATTTCCAATCTCTTTGCAAATCCTATCTTAGCCCCCAAATCTATATTTTAACCATTTAAACTGATAGAAACAATCTGATCTGAGGTTATTATTATATATTATATATGAATAATATTAATTAATATGAATTTTCAGGTTTTATTTATAAAGCATTCAATCTGCTCTTTGTGCTGAATGGTTCCAACTTAATTATGCTGCAATGATGAAGAACATATTAAAAAAGGAAATATCAAAAACTGAAAGGCTGATTCCTTTTTATGTTTTTTTATTTATTAACACATATTTTTTCTTCAATTAAAAAAAAAGTTATGAAAAAAAATAAAGCTTAAAATAATGTTTTCTTAATTATCTTTATATAGTTCGATGTTAATGAAAGCAGCGAATTCTGAAAATCTTTGGCTGTAATTAGTTTAAAAGCCACTAGTTAGTGAAAACATAAAAATAAAAGCTTTTCTGTGGTTCAGATGTTTAGTAATGATGATGGATTAATTTTATGAATCCAGACAGATTAATTTACCCTTTAAAAAAATAAAAAAGCTTAAATATTTATTCTCACATCAATTTAAACTGAACTTGGAGTCAGACATATATATTGTCTGACTTATATATAGACTTTTATATTGTAGCAGACCTGAAATATGCTGCAGTATCTGTCTATGACCACAAGATGGCGGCAGAGATCTTTTAAAAGGTTAACGAAACTTTTTCTGCACATTTAATGGATTCAATTTTCTATTACAAATTTTATCTTTACAGATTAAAACACAGATTTCCATCCTCTCTTTCCCTCTCTGTCTCCTCAGCAGCAACATTTGTAGTGAATGTGACACAGAGCTCCTATCAGGCAGAGGAGAACCACAACATCACTCTGGAGTGGACCTTCACCACCAGAATCAGCAGAACCTGGACACGATTGTTAATCTTCTGCAGCGTTTTAACTCTTCCAAGAGAAATATTTCTCTATTGGGTCCATATTTGGCCTCTCTGGAAACATTTCTGTTTAATGTTTGGGCCTTGGAGACCTTAATTATATCAGATTCCCTTTGTTTTTCTAAGTTTTGCTAAAACATAATATTGTAAAAATAATAAATGTAAAATTGTGTCTACCTTGTAAGTCGCTTTTGATAAAAGCATCATCTAAATGCATAAACATTATTAGTCTATTGAGGTGTAATAAACTCAGTACAGTACCCAAAATGTTCAAGCCAAACTCCAGCATATAGAGGCTGAGTGAATGTGGTCTGGACTCTATGGAGGAGAGTCATGGTTTCAGAGACGCTGTAGAAAGACAGAATTCCTGCTCTGTGATCCAGATACACTCCTATTCTGGAGGAAACTGGACCTGATACTGGAGTATGGATGTTGTTGTGATTAAACCAGTACCTGTCCTTGTAACAGCTTAACGACCATGATTCTGCATTGAATCCAAGTACAATATGATCTCCGTATCCCTTTCTGGAGATACTTTTGTATGAAACTGCTAGATGAACTTCTCCTTCTCCTCTCCACTCCACCTCCCAGTAGCAGCGTCCAGTCAGAGTCTCTCTACTCAGAATCTGAAACCAATCACTGAATCTATCTGGATGATCAGGATAGGGCTGATCTTCTTCCTTTACTGTTACTTTTCTGTTCCCTTTTGACAACAACAGCTTCTCGTGTGCTGTGTTTAAATCCAGTGTGATTTCTTTTGAATATTTTAAGAATCCAACTCTGCTCTTTGGTTCTGGTCCTGATAATAGAACCTCAACTTCAGTTATTGACAGTAAGATGTTTGTCCATCCTTCCCTCAGGATGTCCTGCATTTTCTCTCTGAGCTCTGAAACAGCTGCTGTCACATCCTCAAAGTATCTCAGAGGACGAATATTGATGCTGGATGAGTGTGTAGACTCACTGAGTGCTGACAGTGAGGGGTAGTTCTGGAGAAACTGGTACAGATCCTCTGTGATTGAGAGCTTCTCCAGCTCAGCATCTTTCCTCTTCAGCTCAGTGATCTCCTGCTCCAGCTTCTTCTGAAACTCTTTGACTCGACTCACTTCAGTTTCCTGCTGGGATCTGATCTGCTGCTTCACATCAGAGCTTCTTCTCTGGATGTTATGGATCAGATCGGTGAAGATCTTCTCATTGTCCTTCACTGCTTTATCAGCAGAGCCATTGATGGCCTCCACCTCCTGTTGAAGCAGCTTCACATCTTTCTCCTGGTCCTGGATTCTCTGCTGGATTTGTTGTCGTCTCTCCTGGAGCTCCTTCTGCCTGTCAGCCCTTTCTGCTGCAGCTGGGACTGTTTCATGGCCTTTATGTTCATCCATGGTGCAGAGATAACAGATACACTGCTGATCAGTACGACAGAAGATCTTCATCACCTCATCATGACGAGAGCAGATGATCTCCTGCAGCTTCTTATAGGGGTCCACCAGCTTGTGCTTCTTTAATGGTGGAGCATCATAGTGAGGTTGGAGGTGATTCTCACAATAAGAAGCAAAACATATCAGACAGGACTTTACAGCTTTCATCTTCCTCCCAGTGCAGACATCACAGGCCACATCTTCAGGTCCAGCATAGCAGTGATCAGCTGCAGGAGCCTGGAGTCAGGTCTTCTTCAGATCCTCCACTAATTCTGCCAACATGGTGTTTTTCACTAAAACAGGCCTCGGTGTGAACGTCTGTCTACACTGAGGGCAGCTGTAGATCCTTTTCTTGTCCTCATTATCCCAGAAGGTTCCAATGCAGTTCATGCAGTAGTTGTGTCCATAGGGGATAGTTACTGAGTCTCTCAGCAGATCCAAACAGATCGAACAGGAGAATTTCACAGAATCCATCTGATATCCTTGCTGAGCCATTTTCCATCTGGTAAACAGTCACTGTGTGAAAGGTTTTGTTTCCTCAAAGACAAAAGTTCTGTTATGCAACAAGTCCATGACGTTTTAATTCTCTGAAAGGGGAGTTACCAGGATAAGTAAAAATTCTATTCCAGCCAGAGGAGGGTTTTCTATTCCTGGCATAAAAGCTCCTCCTTTCTCTCTCATTAGGGGGGAGGAGCTGCTCTATCAGGAAAGCTTAGGCTTCGTTCAGCTCTTCCTTACATAACTATATTCAGTCTTTTTGTGTTGGGCTATATTTAATGCAAGCTTTGTAATTGGGTACTTCATAGTTTCCTTTAAATGTGTTAAATCAAAAAGTGCCTTCTCATAGGGGTTAGTAATTATTCCTGTCTGTGTATTAAAGGAAACCATAAATGAGTCACTTGGATGATATTTCTTTGACAGAATGTTGGATTCATGCCAGAGTTCAGTGACTTTGGAAGCATTCGACATGTCTGGAAGGCATATTGACAAGAAGAGATGATAAAGTGCGATTTACATGCCAGATGTGACTTTCTCTCCGTCTTGTGCAACTCATAGTGACTTAATTGGTCTGTTAACGTTCTCATTTTGAGGCAAACTCTTTAAAAGCACTACACATACACCAATAAGGTAATAGGAATTGATGCATGTTGAGATTAACTACCAGAAAGTGTAGTTTATCAAGACTATACAGATGTTCACCTCTCCATCATAATTATGAGCCTTTGCGCAGAATTCATTGTGTGCCAATGGTTTCAGGAAGGAAAAAAAGAAAATGAATAAAAAAGAGAAAGAATAGAAATGACAAGTGATGGATCAGAGAAGCAATGAATAAATCTAATTTTCTTCAGATTGTTACCTTAACAGCATGACTAAAAATGTCAGTAACTGTGGTAAAATGTTTAATCTTCTTATACAGAAGAATATTTCCTACCAAGTAAGAGACATCTATTGGCTAACTGTCAGGTTTTATTTTTACTTTCTTCATTATTCTGTCTTTGTAGTTGTTTTCTGTCAGCTTGGTATTTCTTGAGTTACTCTCTGTTGCCCCCTTGTGCTGGTTTCCTTTCTCCTTGGCTTCCTTCTAGTTATTTCCACTCACACCTGTTCCATATTCAGCTCATTAGTCCATCCTTTGTTCTGTTCCCCATATATACACCACCTCTGCAGTAACTTTAGATTAGATTAGATTAGATGAGCTTTATTGATCACAGCGGAGAAATTCACTGGTCACATATTGGCATAGTACTTAAAGAAGGTGCAAACAAGGAGGAAAAGGTGCATTAGGAATAAAAATAAATAAAAATATAATACAAATAAAAAAAAAATAATAAAAAAAAAAATAGCTGGGAGTAACATAGAGATTTGAGGTGACATATGTACAATCATCATGGCTTATATACAGGTGGATTGACTTTTACATTAAAGTGTAGTGGGTAAGGAACAACGGTGAGGTAACGGTATTACTATTATCTTCACATATATTGCACAGTCAGCATATTGCACAGTCAATAAATAAAAAACTATAATATAGCTGCACAGTGGTTGTTACAGGAGTTATTGTGGTTATAGTGCAGTAGCATAGAGTCTGGTGTAGGGGTGTAAATAATAATTGTTTTGTATCGGTCTATTTTTATCCATTTGCTCCTGGACGTAATTCTCCTCCCGTGCTGCAGTGGCGCTAAACCTATTTTGCCCTCCTACCTCGCTTCCTGGTTATACTCTTGCAGTGTGTTGCAGTAAGCTTGACACAGACATTTTTAAATTATGCTCAATGTTGAAGTCTGGTCTGAGCTACACAATGTGGGTCTAGATACGGCCGAGGCGGTGAGGAAGTGGGGGCGAGTTTAGTCCGACGACGGAGGGACATGTGGGCCAAAAAGAGCGGAGATCCAGGTGGAAAAAGGGTCCCAGCGTTCTTGCGCACCTCGCCCTTCTAGCGGGTCAAACTTCACGAGTTGTTTCCGCAATTTCGGTCATAAAAACAAAACAAGCCGGCCTCCTGTCTGCGGCACTGTTTGCGGTCAGCTACAATTTGGGAGAGGTGCAGCGGAGCATTGCATTGCACCCATTGCACTGATTTTGTCCAGTATTTTTGCAGTATTTTTTGATGCAACTTTTCTACTTCTGTTATTTGCTGTTGTTTCTATAAAAAATGAATTATTATATTACAGCTTTCATTGATTTATTTCAAACTTGAAACTTTGTTTAGCCTGTAAGGTCTAAAAAAAAATAAAAAATTAACCGATTAATCGAATCGAATCATGGTGTATTCTTGAGTATTGAAAATAATCGAATGGTCGGGTCAGGAACTCGATACTGAATCGAATCGCCATGATGGATGTGATTTACACCCCTAGTCTGGTGGCAGCAGGAATGAATGACCTGCGGTAGCGCTCCTTCTTACAGACAGCGTGTCTAAGTCTCTGACTAAAGGATCTGCTCAGCTCCTCTACAGTCTGGTGCAGGGGGTGAGAGGTGTTGTCCATGATGGATGTGAGTTTGGACAACACCCTACTCTCAGCCACTTCCTCTACTGAGGAAGAACTCAGAACTGGTTTCCTGTAGTTGTTTTGGTGCTCCATCGTCTCTTGCTCCCCATGTGTGTTTTCCTTCAGGTTTTCTTGTTTTTTTGGTTATCAGAATAAAATTATATTTTTTTGCCTCTTGCCTTGGACAATTTATTAAGTCGTCAAAACTCACCTCTGCCTCCTTACCTCTGAATTTGGGTCCTAACAAACCAACACTTAAGCTTGACACTCACTGACAGTTATAGTACATATTCTAACTCCAGCCTCTATAAAATAGTTTTACTAATTCCTTAATGTTCCTTCTGTATGAAGCACAGGCTGCTTATATTATTCTCCTTTAGAAAGAAACACCTGGATCAATTACTCTGTACTATAAAACATCTGAAAACAATTATTAATTTAATACCTGATTTATCTGGCAAATAGCAGCATGGGACTCACCAGCTTTGAGGGAAACTATGTGCTTTCTGCGTCATTCTGTTTTAGATTTCTAGTAGTTAACAAAGCCGCTGCTAACTACAAAAGGTCTACATGTTCATGTGGCATTATCAGTTCATACCCTTTGAAAAAAAAGCACTTTAAAAACAAATGACTATATATGATATTATCTGTACAAATGGAAATATAGGCTGTATTTACATTGTAAAATTATTCACTTAGTAAAAATTATCTAATAAAAGGAGAGTTTTCTATGTTGATGGTATATATCTACATTCCTCTTATTCTGTATCTTTGATAAAGCTGCTTCCAGTGATGTTTCCTTGGAACTCTTGGTTGCCTGTTATCATTGAATTCAAATTGTTGTTTTTCTAGCGGACAGCTTTTAAGTAAAAACCAAGAAAAAGCCAGTAGAGCTGCTGGTATTACTATCAGTCCATTGTAGTGTCCAACTCTTCCTTTACACCCATTTGTTGGAGTTTTAGGTTTCCTCTTAGGCTCAGCTTGTTTCCTCCCGGCTGTGAAGAAAGTGAAAACATCTGATTCACTCAAGTGAAATTATATCTTTATTAAAAACAGATAAAACAAGGTATTAACTAATATCACTATTGTGTTTTATCTAAACGTTGTTTAAAGTCCTCTTGTCTGAACTCACCTGAGACATTGAGTCGACATCTTCGAGAGTCAACTCCACCATCAGTCTTCACATCACACACATACAGACCAGAGTCTTCAGTCCTCAGTCTGGACACATGGAGTCTGATTCGTCCTTCTCTGAGGACGTCTTTGTCACTCTGGACTCGTCCAGAAAACTGTTCATCCTGAGACTCTGACACCTCAACACCATCATTGACCTGATAGAGGACTGAGATTCTCTTTTCAGTGATTAGGTCGCAGTAGATAAACAGGTATTTCCAGGATCCCTGAGGTCTGGTGGTGAAGGTCCACTCCAGAGTGATGTTGTGGTTCTCCTCTGCCTGATAGGAGCTCTGTGTCACATTCACTACAAATGTTGCTGCTGAGGAGACAGAGAGGGAAAGAGAGGAGCAGACACACTGAGAACTGGAACAAGGAGGTCATTTATTATAATTAATAAATACAAATTAAAACTGTTTCTTTCCATGACATAGCCACCGAGTGGGGAATTTGATCATTACCTTCTCTAACACTGATCAATAATCATGGATAAGTGCATATTTGTTCATTTTGTGTTTGCCTTAATCTTCTTGAACCTCCAGTCTGACTCAACAGAAGGCTGCTGACACTGAATATGGGGTCTTTCTGTTAGAGGGGAGTTTTCCTCTTCACTGTCACTGCATGCATGCATTCTTGTTGTGATGGATTTCTGCAATATCAATGACTATGCAAACACATAGGTTTCTTTACACAGAAACATTTAAATCAATCGACTGTAACGTGTCTTGAGGTGACATGTAGTAAATCAGTGTTATGCAGATGAAATTAATGGAAATGAATTAGACATCTCTAGAGGTTTCTGTCTCATGTTGATCTCTGTGTTGTCAGAGCTCTGATTGATTCTCTTCTAATTGATTCAATTAATTTATTGATATAGCACCAATTCACAACATGTCATCTCAAGGCAGATTGGTTCAAAGTTTTCTAACTAAGGAAAACCAGCTAATGGTATCGATTAATTGACTGATAGCAATCCCTCACACCAAGCATGCTTGTGGTGACAGTGGAGAGGAAAACTCCCTTTAAACAGTAAGAAAACTCCACCAGAACCAGACTCAGTGTGAGCTTCCATCTGCTGAGTGCTGACTGGGGTTTAAAGAGACAGAAGCAGTGATACATAAATAAGCAGAGATGCAAAATGCAACTGTCAACCAGCTCCATAGACGGCCCTGTCTAGGAAACACACAGCCAGGCAGAGGAGCTCCGAGCGAGCTACCATGTCAGAGGATAAAAAGAGCACACTCAGCCGGTCAGAGTAAGAGAAACAGGACTTCACTGAAAAATAGGCCAAACTCCAACATCTATAAACAAAGGTGCTGTCAATGCCAAACAGAAAAAGACCAGATGATGCCACTATGAGAAAAAACAGCGAGAGCATAATGTTAGCACTTGAGCTAAAAAATTCTACAAAAAGGGAGACTAGAAATAGAATGTAGCAGAATGGTGAGAATTGGTCCCTATGTCCTCCAGAAGTCTAAGCCTATAGCAGCATAACTATAGAGATAGCTCAGGATAACCTGAGCCACCCTAACTATAACCTTTATCAAAAAGGAAAGTTTTAAGCCTACCAAAACTGGTAGTTGGTTCCACAGGAGAGGAGCCTGATAACTAAAAGATCTGCCTCCAATTCTATTTTCATAAATTCTAGGAACCACTAGTAAACCTGCAGATTGAGAGCGAAGTGCTCTGTTAGGAACATAAGGAACAATCAGATCTCTGATATCAGATGGAGCTTGGCCATTTAAGGCTTTATATGTGAGAAGGGGGATTTTAAATTATATTGTTGATTTAACAGGAAGCCAATAAAGAGAAGCCAGGATAGGAGAGATATGATCTCTCTTTTTAATTTTCATCAGAACTCTGGCTGCAGCATTTTGGATCAGCTGAAGGCTTTTAACTACAGTTTGTGGACTTCCTGATAGTAAAGAATTACAATAGTCCAGCCCTGATGTAACAAATGCATGGACTAGTTTCTCAGCATCACCCCTGGACAGGATATTTCTAATTTTTGCAATATTCTCCAAATGAAAGAAGGAAATAGTAGAAATCTCTTTGATTTGGGATTTAAATGACACTTCCGGACAAAAGTAACACCAAGATTTTTTACTGTATTATCTCAGATCAATTTAATCCCATCCAGATGAAGTGACTGCCAAGCTGCTTGATCAAATGCAGCTGGAGGATTGAAGTGTTACCTTCACTGACAGACTTTTCACTGATTATTGATGGATTTAGAACAAAGAGAAGATGGAAACTGACCACAGAGACATGAGTTGATGATGATGAGCAGCAGGATCCTGGAGATCATCTTCTCCCTCTGAGAGGAGACAGAGGAGGAGAATCAGCAACACATCAGCTCCAACATCACTTACCGGTACTAGTTGTAACCACAATATGTAATTTTATAACAGTGCACCCTAGTGGCATAATGGTGTAATTTTAACACAAATGCAGGTGATGTCTGACAGATGTCTATCTCAACATGCAACATGCATGCCTTTTCAATAATTTGAATGCTGAAGGTAAAGCATCACAGGGAATGGTAGTCTCATCATTCCTTTTACTCTGCACACCCAATGAATTCATTTCATCTGCAAACATACACAGATGAAAAAAAGCTTTTTGGCATAGCATGGAAATAATTATCTGACCTTGAACATGAACAAAACAAGGGAGATGGTTGTTGATTTCAGAAGAAACAGTAACAAGTTGTGTCCTATTAAGATACTGGGAGAAGAAGTGGAGGAGTATACCCCAGTGTTTACTTGGACAACAAACTAAATTGGAGACTCACAACTGTGAAGTTGTCTATAAGAAAGGATACAGCAGTCTGTACTTCTAAAGGAAGCAGGCATATGTCAGTGTTTTCATCAAGATGCTGAATATATTCTATAGTCTGTTTTGGGCTGTCTAATTTCACACTACCGTCATAAAATATCTAAAAGAAGCTGAACAAGCTGATAAAGAACAACCGGTTCCATTCTTGGAACTCGTCTAGAACCTCTGGAGAGGATTTTTCCTAACATGGAGAACTTTTTCTGTCTAAATCAAAGGTATCTCATAGTGTTAGCTGAAGGGAAAACAAACTGACAACAGGTGGTGGCCAAATACAAACCAGCGCAGGATCGGCTACACTACCAATACCAATTATTTTCTTGTTCATCGCCAGAATCGACAGAGTACAGACAATCAGTTTTATCCCGTACCAGCTACCACTGTCTGACAACTTTGGTTAAAGGCAATAAAGTGAGTTGAGGTGACAGAACAATTGTATGTAGTGCAAACTTCTTAGGAAGTAAATAAAATATGGTCTCTCGTTGGTTTTGATTATGTTTGCCTTTGTAGCATTACTCAACCAGCCATTTAATTGCAGATTCCCATAAAGATATAGCTGTCTCTTCTTTTTACAATGACCCCAGCCAGCTACATGTTGTTTTTTCAGGTCTTGGTAGAACTTTGCATTACCCTCTGTTTTTCAGTTAGCTAGGTGTAGATGTTGTGACATTTAGCCAGAGGTAATCCTGTCAGATCTTCCATTTAGCTGGTGCGTCCAACCCATTGAGGTCTGTCATTTTAAAAGTAACTGCTTTAAATAAATATCCTGGCCCCTTAAGTAAATAATCTTAGACTTCATATTCAGGAAATACTTTGTAGATATTTTACAGTTATATTTTTGTCTTTAAAAAGCTAAAAAAAAAAATAATAAATTATATTTACTGTTGTTAAATTGCTTGGGAGAAATATTTTTGCCTCCAGCTATGCTCCGCTAATAGAAATACATCATAATGTTTACCAACTAAAAAGGGATCTATAGTGAATATCATCTTCAGGAGATGTTTTAACACCTACAAAGTATCTTTAGCTTGAATCTCCTGATCCTAAGCAAGATAGAACACTATCAAAGAACCTTTCTTCTTACACCTATCAACACCAATAAAAACTCATTGAGAAAAAAGCCTCAGTTACTTCTTTTAACTTCCTTGTGGGTTTATTATAGTATGTCTGAATTAAAATGAAATTTATTTGAATTGAAGGGGTGAACAAACCCAGAGTTATAACAAGGAGTGGGTAGGTACAACACTAACCCTATTTCTTTGAAGATGAAGCAGCAGCCTAATTATATGAAGGAAATCATGAGGTAAAGTTCTGGTCTAAGCCCTAAAAAACACCAAATCTGACTTTGCGTTTGATTTAACAGAAAGTTGTGTTATCCAAGGTTATTGCATTTGCACTCATTGAGAGTTAGTGGAAATGAACACACCTGACACGACCTTCTGATTGGGTGCTTGCTGGACTCCAACCAAAAAAGACCCCCGTTCTATTTATGCAGCAAATCAGCTGTAATTTCATGGGTTTGACATCAAGAGGACTTGGTTACAAAGTAAAACATGTGCTTTCCCAAAAGAAAACAGTCAGGTTTGGAGTCGCAGAACACATATATAGCAGCTAGAGCAGTGTCATGCTTAAAAAATCATTGAGACTTTTAACTATTTTAACTAGCTATGATAGGAGTTCAGGTGGACAGAAAACGGATAAATTTGTGAAACTCTTGAAAAAACAATGATGTGACAGTACAGAAAAGCACAGTAAAAAAAAAAAAATCTCAATTTACAACTGGAAGGATTGATGCAGGAATCCAAAAGTGGGTTGCTGTTTACATTTATGTTAGTGTAGTTATCAACAGCTCAAACATTTTTTAAAGTAATGTAGAAAGTAACATGTCTAGAATATGTTAAGTAGTCTTATTACCCACTAGAAAGGTTAAACTTTAAAACAAGCAACAAATTAATTAGTAAATCACAGACATGCTTACCTCATATCTTCCTCTGTTTAAAATATTTTGGAGTGATGCTTACCTGTCTAAACTTGTAAAACTGTGACGAGCAATCCACGTCCAGTAGCATTGCAGGGTGGTAAACTTCCATCAAGATAGGAATCATGCAAATATTTGGAGTTCAGCTAAATATACTCAATTAAACAGGAGTAACTGGTCTGTCATTGCTGTCTGGTGAAATCCTGATGGACTGACGTCATAGTCATGTTAGAGCAACTATTGTTTCACAATCCTCTCTCAAGGTAGAAGACTAACTTTAACCTGAGTCAAGGTAGTTTAAACTTTCACTAATGCTATTTTAGCTTTTACTATGTAGACCAATTCTATATTTTTTTTTTCAAAATTGCTGCTACTTTTCTGAGGTACATTATATAGAATTTGTAATATTTACACCATTAAATTGTCAATGATCTTTATAAAAAAATATATAATTTATTCATTAAATACATTCAACTCCAAGTCAAAGACATTTTAGAATGTCATTTTTAAATAGTGAATCTCTACTGAACTAAGGTATGTACACAGAAAAAAATGAATGGAAAATAGTAGACCGGATGCACAAAAAGAAAGAATGCTAAAACAAAATGAAAGAGAAACTTGATGTACTGTTTAGTTGTTTTATTTTCCAGCTTGATGTCCTTAAAGAAGTGAAGCTATTACATAGGTAAATGCTATATGGCCTGTTCTTATATAGCACTTTTTCAAGTCAGGCGTCTCGAGCAAAGCGCTTGACACTACATTCAGTCATTCACGCACACACTGATGGTGGCGAGCTACACTGTAGCCACAGCTGCCCTGTGGGTCACTGACAAAGTGAGACTGCGGTACGTTGACGCTGCAGTGATGGGCTGCGCCTGGATCTGCAAATCCACAGCCCTGCGCTTCAGTTCTGTTATTTCTGTTTTTATTTAAATAAACGTTTTAAACTTTTCCATTGCCTGTCTCATCTTGAATATTGGGTCCATCTGTCCAGTTTCTTTAAATAATGAAGTGAAACTAAAGAGCATATTTGTCTCTAGCTATATTGACAATGTCATATTTTTCATGTAGAAAAGACTGTGTAAAAGAAAACAAATGACAAAAAAATCTGTTCAATTTTTGAAATTGTCTGTGAGAGTCCACTTCCCTAAATGTTGCTAAAACAATGCAGAATACTATATATCTACTATATATATATATATATATATATATATATATATATATATATATATATATATATATATATATATATATATATATATATATATATATATATATATATATATATATATATATATATATATATATATATATATATATATATATATATATCAGTGGCGGCTGGTGAAAAATATTTTTGGTGGGGCTGATATACCCTAGTGTATGTCTCCAACTAATCCGGAATAAGAATTCAAATAAACAATTGGACAATACATACAATTTAACAGTAATGATTTAATTTACTATATAATAACAGTAACAGTGATGATTTGGGTCACTGTGACGGGGTTCTTTGGCCTCCAAGAATCCAGTCTCAGTCGGGTTACCGGTGTTGGTGATTTATTGAGCTCAAAAACTCAAAACAGGGTGCAAAAGAAACTAAACATGTACAAGATACTCTGGGCCTCAGCCTCCCTCCAGTTACCAGCAATGTAACAAAGAAACAGAAAACAAAAATTGCCGCTTTTCTTCCCACAGCCCTCATTAAATAGTTTAAGCCCCTACCCTCAGGCTCTCTTATTTCTGATTTCTTCTCATTAATCAGTTTTGTCCATATATTACCTCCACAAACAATTGATGTACAAAAACAAATAATTTTTACAACTTAATTATTTTACACAGATTCATTGACTTATTCAATTACACCAAACTGGGTTTGAACCCAGCAAAGACGCAGCCAGACTGAAGATGACAAGTCCCCGTAGCATAAACACGTACACACCCACACCCCCAACATACCCACACACACACACACACACACACGGCTAACCCCACTGAAATATTAAGTGTGCACCCTCAATACGCCAGCAGGTAACCAGGACAGCTTGTGTGTTTTAAGTTCATGGAGCTACTGGTCTCAGCGCGAGTGTATTGGTCCTCACAAACACAGTATAACAGGAATGTGTGTGTGGCGCGCAAAGTTAGAGAGGTTGTTTTAAGTGACGAGGTGGATTCGTCACAGTCACAATAACCATGACATGAAATGTTCATATCCTACAACAGGGATGTTCTTCAGGCAAACGGGTAGATAAATAAGGATCTCACCGAATTTGGTGGAAGCTGCATCTCGTTCGTTACATTCGCCATCTTCCCTCTAATTGTCTGCACCTGCGCTTGGGTTCAGAAGCCTGTTAAAGCGCAGTATTTTCAGAGCCCCAAGACCATAAAGTTCCGAGACGCTGATTGGCCATTAAATTCACCTAGCAATAGTACATGATAGGGAAATGTAGTTTATATAATTTGTTTTGCTTATAGGTACACAGTCTAGAGAGTAAAACTGACATTTATGAGTTAATTTCTAAAAATATATTTTACGTTTCTCTCTTCTTA